TAAAACCCTTAAAATAGCTCTAAGTGTAGCACCAAGTCGAACACATAAAGAATAGAAAAAGCTACCAATACAAAACAATAGAGGGCTTGTGAAGATTAGAGTGTACACAAAACAGTGTAGGTTCGGATGGGTAAGTACGAGTGGAAGTATGTAAAAGGGGTGTGTAAGAGAGTGGATAAAGGAGTGTGTGGTAGAGAGTGAAGTGAGCGTGCGAGTGAGTGCGAGTGAGAGTGTGATGTGACTGTGCGAGTGAATGAAGTGAATGTGTGAGTGAGAATGTAAGTGTGTGTGATGAGAGTGTGTGAGAGTGAACGTGAGAGAGTGCGAGCGAGTCTGTGTAAGTGTAAGTGTGAGTGTGAGTGAGGAGGATATAGAAGTGTAAGGGAGAGAAAGATTTGAGAGGGAGAGGTCCGTGAAATAGAGGGAGAGAGAAGATTGAGAGAAAGAATGAGAGAAAAGTGGCATGAAGAAGAGGAGAGAGAAGTGCACGACGTAGAAAAGAGAGAAATACGTGAGGGAGAGGAGAGAAAGGTACATGCAATAAAGGGAGAGAGAAGATTTGAGAGAAAACAGAGGAGAAAAAAATGACGTTGAAGGAAGAGAGAGATTTGGACGTGTGGGGAGGAGAGGGAAATAAAGATAAGGATGATTTGTTGAGGGGAATGAAAAAGATAGAGGTAGTTGAAAGAAAGAGAGGTACATGGGATAATGAGGGTGAAAGATCGAACAAGATAGCAGAGAGAGAGAGGGAATGAACAAACGTGAGAGGAGAGAGAATGGTTGCATGAAGAGAGAGAGAATGACTAAGAGGAGAGAGTGATTGTGTGGAGGAGAAAGAAAATAAACAACTAAGACAGAAGGATTGCATGACTAGAAAGAGATAAAGAAATAAAGGGCTGCAAGGCGTGGACACCGAGGGAAAATAGGAGGGTCACGGGCACAGAGAGAAAATAGGAATGTCACAGGCACGGAGAAAAAATAGGAAGGTTGCGGGCACGAAGAGAAAATAGGAAGTTTGCGGGCACGAAGAGAAAATAGGGAAGTTCGCAGGCATAAAGAGAGAATAAGGAAGCTCACGAACACGAAGAGAAAATAGGGAGCTCGCGAGCACAGAGAAAAAATAGGTAGCTCACGGGCACGAAGAGAAAATAGGGAAGAAAGAGAAAGGGAGAAGAGAGAGAGAAGAGGAAGTGGGAGAGAGGAGAGAGAATGGACTTGAGGTGTGTTCCAGCCTAAGTGCACACCTATGAGCCCCTTTGCATGCACATGAGAAAGAAGAGTTAGGCTTGGGTCAAGACTGAGGCCCACGATCTGTGAAGTAGGCTAGGGTATATGGTGTAGGGTGTACGCTGGGGTGTATGGTGTGACGTGTAGGCTAGAGTGTATAGACTAGGGGTAATTTCTCTCTCCACATAAGTTCTCTCTCTCCTCTATATTGAAGTTGGAAGCTATGCACAAATCCAAAGCCTGAAGGGGCAAAACCCAATTTTTATTGCGCTTCCCAACTTAGGTTTACAAATGACTTAAGCTCACTTATATAGAGTGATCATAAAACAAGGGTGGTATGGTCAAAACTAAGCCAAATTGTAGAAAATTATAATTTAATAGAATTAAAGTAAAATCCCGTCTTTAGACCAAATTACCAACATACCCCTTAGTTCTTTTAAGTAATGACAAAACCATCCCTCCATGAGGGACCTCTTGCCATTGCTAAACTTCGGGAGCTTTTCCAGACGCTTACGACGATGATTCGGACAATCCAACATTGTAGAATTGATGCACGATTCATTCTGAACATTTTGATGTCCTTTGATCGTCTTGAAACGGATTTTTCATAAAGGGGCAAAAATCCGGCCAAGTCCACAAACTTTGACAACCGATCCGGTGCGATCCACGATATTCCAAATCCTCATTTTTATCACAAATTAAAAGGGACGTTGTCACAATCATTTCGCACCAAATTTCGTCCTGGTTTTTGTTTGAGTATATCCCCAAATTGGGAAGTCGTTAGAAAATGGGATTCCGTTGACCAGAAAACTCATGCCCTCGTCAACCTTGAAATTCGTGCCACCCGGCCTTTAACTGAATGTAAAATTTATAGCAAACTTGTAGCCCTTTGCGATGTCGTCACAACGGACTCGATTTCGTGCCAATCTGACTTACGGATCTCGAGTTATTGCTTCGCGAAGTATGGGATGTCTTCTTTCAAAACTCTGATTTTTATGGTTTCGGGCTCATCTTCTCTCTGGAAAATCCCTCATCTCGGGCCACACCATGATGCGTGCCATAAGTCAAAATGACCAGGTCGTCGAGACCTAGCTTGTGTTCGAATTTGAGTTTGTCCGATTCCAAACGAACGAGCTATGAGCACTTGAAAATCATCCCGAGGGACAAAAATGCAGTTTCCAAAAATGGCAACTGTTTTACCGAGGCTACATCGCAATAGTGTGAAACCTACTCGTTTATGGCATTTTGGGCCCAGAATGGTCCTAAAAGGTCTGATTGAGCCCAACTTTCGTCCCTGGGGGTTTTTTGATGTTCTGGATTTAATAGCAGTGGTCTGGTACTTTTTTGAAACTCCTAAAATGGGGCTGTAGTTATAAGGTCCCTTTTCAGCATTATAGCAGCTGGATTTGATAACCGAGTTTCGTTCTGATCATATCAAAACTTATCAAAATGTGACGAAACTTTGTGAGCATCCTTCGAGCATCCCAAACAACCCTTTTCATGCCCTTTGAAGCCGTTCCAGTACTTTTTCAGAGGTTGCTCAGTCTTACGCTTGTTTTGCAGTGTTTCCCTGGTCAGGTGGGGCATTGGATATCGGCAGAACCAGGTCATCACTGGGTCTCTCCTTATTTGCACTAGAGATGTATGTCAAAAATGACGTATAACAATGAGACCCTAACATAACTCTTATATTATATTATATATATATATATATATATATATATATAACAAAAGCCTTTCCAACACCTATCGGCGAAAATGAACAGTGATTTCGACAATGCTCATCACCATCCAAATTTCATCATACGGTCACGATTGTCCGGTAGTGTTTCATTTTTCATTTTTTTTTTATAAATTGAAATAATTTGAAATTTGGAACGTGCATACATCTTAGTGAGGTACACCTAATAAAAATATAAAAAAATATTTCGTAAAATATAAATTGACCAAAATACCCTTGTAATTTTTCAGGGGTATTTTGATCAATTTATATTTTACGATTTTTTTTTTATTAGATTCTCCTGTTTATGAAGAACACAAGCTCCAAATTTCAGATCATTTCTATTTGCAGAAAAAAATGAAAATTGAAACACTGTTGGACAACTATGACCATGGCATGAACTTTGGACAGTGATGAACATAGGCAAAATCACTATTTATTTTTGCCTATAGGCATTGCGTAGTGTTTTCCTATATATATGGGAAATGCTAGCGTAGGCCAGTGGGCCTACAGCTACATATGAGTCCCACGACCAAGATTGAATCTGAGCTGATCAAATGATCACGATTGCATTTCGTATTTGAATTTTAATATTTTTCTATAAATCCAAATCACTTGAAATTTTGGGTATGTATTCGTTAAAAATAGGAGAATCGAATAAAAATATAAAAAATTATTTGTGAGAACAAAATTGACCAAAATACCCCTTAAACCTTTCAAGGATATTTTGGTCAATTTATTTCTTGAGAACTATTTTTTTAATAATTTTATTAAGTGCGCCCTGATGAGAAGAATAGACGCCTAAAATTTCACATGATTTGAATTCGTAGAAAAATAAATAAAATTAAAATTAAAATATGAAATGAGGTAGTGTCCGTCAAATTGGCCCAAATTGAATCTGAGCCGTTGGGCTCATATGTAGTTGTAGGCCCACTGGCCTACGCTAGCATTTCCCATATATATTATATATAGAAAATTGTTTCATGCAGGCTGGGCTGCATTTCTACATATGTGGTCCAGAAAGTGTAAAGCATCAATTTTAAAGATGGATGCTAGTAGGTGTTCCATCTAAAAACAAT